ATATATATATATATATATATATGTAAAATAATTATCAAAAAAGTAAAATATATAATGATTGCTAGTGTACGATTGAAGTGTGAGCTACCGTTTTCAATTTACCTGGAAAGACAAAATTACGTGAAATTTAAGTTGAATCACTAAGTTTAATTGTAAAAAAGCGCCTCTCAGAGACGTTTGTACTAGCAGTCAGTATCAAAGTAAGGTTCATAATCATAACTTTGCATTCGTATTTACTTAGCGTACATCTTGGCTGACGCTGGGTACGACGTGTGGATGGGCAACGCTCGCGGGAACACGTACAGCCGTCGCCACATCAAGTACAAGCCCGGGGGATTGTTCAACTCCAAGTTCTGGAACTTCGACTGGCACGAAGTGGGCCTGTACGACCTCCCCGCCTCCATCGACTACGTGCTGGAGCAGACTGGCGAGGAGAAGCTGTTCTACGCCGGCCACTCCATGGGCACCACCGCCTTCTGGGTGATGACTACTCAGCGTCCGCAGTACAACGACAAGATTCGGGCCATGTTCGCCCTGGCGCCCATCGCCTACATGGGTCACATGACCTCTCCCTTCTTCCAGCTCCTCTCACTCGCCAACAAGCCGCTCGAGGTAAATATTCAATTGTGCTAAAATATCTTAATGTTCACAAAATATCTATCCCATTGCCTTCCCAAGACACAAAAGTGATTTAAAAAGTCATGTGCTGATTATCAAATGTTATAGTTTCAAGTAGATATGATTTTATCATGAACGTAACAGTAGGTTCTGAGATATATCGTTCTCAGGAAAAGTGTTGATAGCAAATTATACTCTAGATTGTAAAACATTATCCAACAAGCTTTTTTTCGAAATTTGAGGACGCATTCGTATATTATAGGTTAACGTAGTATATTCCTTTGCTATATGACAGTAAAGTAATCCCCCCCCAAAAAATTAAAATAAAAGTAAAATATACATTCTCAAAATGGCCAGAAAAAAATTGGTCCACACCGCCCTACCGCTTACACAGTAAGGAGAATGTTATGTAATGCTGTGCGAAAAATGGCGAATTTTCAACAGAAAAACTCTTATTGCGGTGCCTGGTATCAAAAGATTGAATAAATCCAGTTGCTTAAGTTATAAAAAAGAATTCTCCGTCCGTGTGGGAACAACGCTAGCGGTTAAACCGTTCAACCGATTTCTTCCAAAATTGATATTCGTCAATCTGTCAGGTGTTCCGGCCCATAGAGTTTTAAACTGATATATTAATTTTGAGGGGTACTTTACCTGAAATACCTATGACATTTTCAAAATTTTCCAAAAATGGCTCCATTGTTTTTTATTAAGGTTTTTTTGGATAGTGTGAAGGACAGTTAAAAATTGGTATAGGTCTCAGCTTCGTTGAAAACTCTAATTCGTCGAAGTTGCAAATATTCATATTTTTTCGATATCTTCCCACAACTACAATTATGAAAATAGATATTTTTCCTTAATTAAATATGCTCATTAAAGATATATTTTGAAATAAGATCATATACAATTTTTTGAAAAATTGAATTATTTTCGCGTAATTTTGCGGCGGAAAGGTACGTGCTGTGTTGTCACCACTACTTTTATATATGTCATGACACACTCTTATGGAAAAACACTCGCGGCATATTTTTAATACATTGAAGAAGTAATAGCATAGTATACGTACGTATTTACAATATCAAAGAAAATATTTAAATGTGGACAAAGAAATTATTTAAATATAATGAACATTGTCCATTGAAAGTGAATAGTGGAATCATGTATGATAACAAATATTTCTTTACTTTTCATGAAAATAACTAGAAATGTAAGTAGGAAATTTGGGAATCTTTGAGGTAATGACATTTCAGTTATGCTTTTGAACAACTTTACAACTTTCGTTTCTAGGTCTTTTGGAAAAGTAAAAAAAGAACTTAACTCAGTTCTTTCCTTAATTATTACTGCATTGAATTGCAGAATAGTCGACTACTTGTAGTAGTTTTGTGGCTTCCATTCAGCAGACAACTGATGATGATGGCTAAGCCATCGAAAGCTGCTCTTATTATAAAAACTATTGTTGGCAATGACAACGTTTATAATTATTTCTGTACAAATCATGTTATTGACAAACTGTTTCTCGTGCTGTAAAATGGATAACCGCGCCAATTAAGACTTTTGTATCACATACAACCAGAACCTATTTGACGATAATTCGTGTTCAAAGCAACCAATGTGGACTAATATTCAACGCAGAAAAAAATAAGTATTCGGGAGACAAAGTCAAACTTGACTTGCCAAAGAATTGCCAACATATGAAAATGACAAATCATGTCAGATACTACATTTCAAATGAAATGTTTTACGAGGACAAAAAAACTATATTTCTTTTGTGACTACGTACTAGTAAAGTTTTAAATGGTCCATTCACGTTTACAAGCAACTGTTGTTAATTTATAGAAGTAATAAATGTTTGTATTTATCTAGCAATTAGAACAAACATGCTACCTTAAATATAAAGATTCTAATTTCGCTAATTCATGACTATTTTTCATCTAAAAATTATAATTTGAGAATGTTCGTGTAGTTTGAAAGGTCACCGGGCACCTTCCAACCTGTGATCTTATACGCTCGCCTCGCTGGCACAGGGGTTGGAAATAAGTCCAAGTAGGTAGGCGTCCAAGGATGGCAAGGCCCCTACATAGTTCCATTTCTTTCATCATAATTTACTCATGATACTCGTTACCATCATCCATCCAGCCGAAAGCAATGACAAATCATTACAACAACTATCTTCTCAATTTCTTACAGGGATAAGCCTCTTCCACCGCTTAAGCTTGGGATAGTGTATGGCGGTCACCAACATGGCCTCATGATGAAGAAGTGCATTTATCACATTTTATTGTTATTTGTTGAAAACGATAATATAACTTCACTTAAATATTTATTCACTTTGCAGTTTCTGCTCAATATTATGGGTGTCAACGAGTTCCTGCCGAACAACGAGTTGATGACTCTGGGGGGCAAACTCCTGTGCCAAGACAAGGCTCTCACGCAGTTCATGTGTGAGAACGTGCTGTTCTTGATCGCTGGATACGACAGTGAAGAACTCAACTCGGTATGTCGATCTCTTTGCAAAAAAGAAATAAGCTTTGCATATACGATCAAAACAGAGTGAATGTTAACATTATTAGCATAACATATTATATTAAACCTCTGAATTTTAAAATAGGTATTACGAAAACAAAATGCTCTTGTTAGTGACCGTTTGAATTAATCGATTAATTCTCTTTTAGACGATGCTGCCTGTGATCCTGGGCCACACCCCAGCTGGTGCCAGCACTAACGAGTTGCTGCACTACTCGCAGGAGATCGTCTCATGTAAGTATTCGCGAGGAAAATTTGCGAAAAGTATATCGCATCATAAAGTAAGCCACCATAATTTGAAAAGGAAACATAAAAATAATCTCAAGATTGTTGTGTCGTCAACATGTGAGAACGAACGCTATGGTATACGTGTTCCATAGGGATGTGTATGTCTTTGTTAGAAATAATTTTAGTTTTATCGCATTATTACACAGAATAGAGAATGTTATATAATGCTGCAGCAAAAAAATGCAATTTTGTGGCAGAAAAATCGTAATGTTGATCTTAATTCTTGTATCTAATGTAGTAAATTTCTTCTTTTAACACTTTGTGTATTAAGAACCCACGTTTTGTGGATCTTTGATATGGAAAATTTGTTTATGCCAAAGTGCGCGCTCATCCGTTCTTCTGTTCGTTTGTCAGCTCATTAACAATGCTAGCGGATAAACTGTCAGCAGGATTTTCCCCAAAATAGATATATACCAATCAATGTGAGTGATGTCGCGGCTCCTTGCATTTGAAACGTATTATTCAAATTTCGGCGGTATTCTGTGACATTTTTCAAATTCCTGATGAACCAAGAACATTTCATTATTTTTTTCAAAATTGGCTCCAAATTTTTTGAATAATTGTTTATCGGATAGACCAAAGTGTAGGCATATAAAATTGACAAAAGTCTCATTTTGGTTAAATTATCAAATTTTTGAAAAATTGTAAAAATTTATTTTTTCGGTATCTTGTCACAACTACAATTCAAAATATCGAGATTTATCTGCGGAATGATATCTTTTCTTTAAAATTTGATTTTTAAATGGGGCCAGGTACTTACAATTTGTTTTCAAAATTTGAGTAGATGCGAAATTTTGCGTGAAGTAAAGCCAATTTTAAAAACAAGTTTTTCTTAAAAACAGATACATTTTTTCATGAAACGTTTGTTATGGAGTATTTTAAATTATTTCTGATGAAGTAAATGTTACAATAAGGTCAAAATTGCGCATTTCAGAAACGCTCAAACAATATTGTGGCAAGAACGGCTCCAAATTTTGCAATGAAAATGTAAGTTCAGCACTATGTCGTGCCTTTCTATATTATTCTTAATGTTATATTTCAATTGTAGTTTTAAGCAACAAAAAAGTGAAAAAATGTGGGGAAAATGTATTTTAGGGCTCGATGGGTGGAAATAAGAGAGAGGATGTTTTCCTAGAAGTCAACAGACTATTTTGAAATTCATTTCCTTTAGAATCTCTGGGTGAAACTCATTAGAGAAAGCCTTTAAGATCAAGTTTCAAACAAGTTATTAGATTTATCACTATCCATAAAACTTTAATTAATTGGCAATTCTTGTGCACGTTTGGACAGTAAAAGACAAAGACAATTAACTTGAACAATTCACATTTGCAGGAATGTTAATGCGTACTTACATTTTTGCGTGTCAAAATAAAAAAAACTGCAAAGCAAATTTTGTATGGAGTGTGTCTGCAGTATTGTTGTAATATCAATTTACGTAAACGAAACCTTGGAACTTCGTTGACTTGTACTTGCCTGACATATTTATTATGATAATCAGTTTTACTTATCTTTTGCTTCAATAATTCCACCTCCTTCGTAATTTGCAACAGTTTCTCGCCGGAATTATATAAACATTTCTCCAAACTTTCTGTTTAGTTCTGATCAGAGAGCATTCAGAAAGTAAAATTTCCTCGCTGATTCATGAATGTTACGTTCTTAATAATATTATGACAATTACGTTCCGAATATTAATTAAAAGCACTCACATTTGGCATCCCTAAAAATTGAACTTAATAATTCAGACCTTGAACTATTTCTCACTATTTTCTTGCAAATTGAAAGGATCTTGTGGTTGTGCAGTTAAGTTCCGTCAATGGGACTACACGGCGACCAACCTCTTCCACTACGGCTCGCTGACGCCGCCCAAATACAAGCTGAGCAAGGTGACTGCTCCCGTAGCTCTCTTCTACAGCGGCAACGATTGGCTCGCTGCCATCAAGGTGAGTCCGTCCACACACTTGCTAATAGTGACTACTTATGATAAAACCAAAGAATTATATAGGACGGATTGTTTCCTGATTTTTCTTTATCAGTTTTTATATGTGCATTCCTTCAACTGCAATCTTTTAAGCCGGGCATTAATAGCAGTATCTGAAATCTTAAAATTTGGATTATATTACGATTCAATTTTGATGATAAATAAGTTGCAAGAAAAATATATTCAGATGAAGTTTACTAGATTCATGATTTTTAAACACGCTTTTTCAGTAATGCACCAATTCGGCAATTAGCCAGATAACGTATGAGTAATTAATTTTGATGTACGAAAATTTGTCGACACCCATATAATAATCCATAAAATAAATCAATTTCATCAAAAAGAATGTGTGAATTGTATATTTCTTACTTTGATGATATTAAAGAGACGATATGATACATATGATAATATTGTATTCAGTATCATTTTAAAAACGACACTTAAGATGTGAACCAATGTGGACTATTCAACAGTATTTTATTGGGCAATTTATTTTTTTACCAATCCCATATATAGCCAGAGCGCAAAATTTTTTGCGCACATGCTAGTATCCTACGTGTATTTGTCTTACAAGACAGTTTAGAACATTTAATTTTTCGGTTTTATGAAATATCAGTTTCGTTTAAAATATTATTTTTATATTAATGCAAAATATTAAAAATAAAATTTGTTTCATTATAATTCCGTTACGACTTACGATTTAAGAAAGAAAAATATGAAATAACTTATTTTTTCCTTCTCGACAGCTGGTTTCTTTTTACTTTTCAGTATACATTATATATACGGAGTATTGTATGTAGTATAGGGAACGTTATATAATGCTGCGGAAAATCGATTTTGAGATTTCAACGGAAAAACGGTGATACCGAACCTGATATTGAAATGGTTTTGAGGTCCCCTGAAACCGCAAAAATAGTATTTTTCAAACCGACCGTTAGTCAGACACACTAGTCAGACATCCATCTGTCTGTCCGACTATCCGTCCGTACGTCCTCCGCCCGTCCGTCCGCCCGTCCGCCAGTCCGTGAACACCACCAGCGCCGAAACCATACGTAGGTTTTTTTCAAATTAAAAAAGCTCTATCCATTTGATATTTTCAAAAACATTCTTTAAAATTTTGGGGCACTTTACATGAAGCCCCCCGGACATTTTCAAAATTTTCTCAAAAACGACTCCAAACATTTTCTTAAATTTCTTGTAAAAATAGAGTAAAATACACAAAAAAACTACAAAATAGAGTAAAAGGTGGCATACGTCTGATTTTCACGCATAACACTAAATTTTTGCAAATTCAAAATTCTCAAATTTTTCGGATGTCTTCCTACAACTACAAAACTGAAGATAGAGGTTTTCCTTAAAAAAATATGTTCTACATGATGAGTTAATTCATTAAGGTCAGGTATTTTTTAATAATTAGTCATTTTAGTAGTTTTCGCGCAATATTGCATGCAATTGCATGCAATCTGTTCAATTTAAAAAGTAACAAAAACAAGATTTTCTCAAAAACGGCTCTACTTTTTTTAAACGTTTGGTAAGGATAGTACCATGTACTCTAATAGTACTTTTTCAAAAATTACAAAAATGTAATTTTTTGCCTGATCTCTCACGTAGGTAATATTTATATTAGCGGCGATTTGTTCACATTATTATATTTATGAGTATATGTGCTTTAAATAATGTCATATAATCTTCTCGAAAACTCAACTGTTTTCTGCGAAAACTAGGTCAAAATTGCACATTTTTAGAAACGCTCAAACGTTCTCAAAAACGGCTCCATATTTTTTCTTCAAACTTTTCGAAAGGATAGATCACTGCTTAATAAGACGTAAAGTTCATTTCGGGGATTTTTTCTTGTATCAAAAATTACGCAAATGAAATTTTATTGAAAGAGATCTCACGCTGGTTATATGCAAATTTCCAGATATTTGTAAACACTATTGTATTAGTGAGTTAAAGATTTTCAAATGACTTCTAATGAAGAAATCGAAAACTCAAAAATTGTCTGTGAAGAAGTGCTTCAAATTTCGAATAGCACTTAAGCGCCATTTTCTTAAAAATACTCTAAATTATTCAAAGAAAATTACCATTTAGGACGACCTTTTACTGTTCTTTAATATTCTTAAAATTATATTTCCGTTCTACTACTAGAAAACTGAAAAATTAATACAATTCAATGAAATTTACTTTGGGTGGCGATAGATGGCCGCAGGTAAGAGTATGTGGCACGTTCGAATGGCTAGCTGAGACCAAATGAAATAGAAAACTAATGCGGGAAAGTCTGTGACATTCTGTAAAACTATAGTAGAACTGTAGTTTTTATATTTTCTCAGTTTTTCGATTTCCTAATAATAGAAGCGAAATATTACCTCCAATTTCTCGTCTTTTATTCTCCTTAATTTGTCTTTGCTTCCGGAATACTAATGGGTGGTTATGTTACCTCCACCACTAACACCGCCACCATCACCACCAAGTTTTCACGTTTACCCCTTTTTGTTGGATTTTCCTTCCTCTTCCTTGCTAAGAATTGGCAGTTTGAGGTCACCTCAAGTGTTAGCTTTGGAGTGTACTCCTGTACTTTTGGGCGCAATAGTGGTGCAACAACTTCTTGATGGATCTGGAAGTCAATCAGCACTACAAGGATTGCATAAATTGCCCTGCCCACTCTCATCCATCTCTCTTAGAGTTGAAGTGGAACAATTTGGCGG